GATGTACAGGCTTCGTGTGTGTGTGTGTGTGTGTGTGTGTGTGTGTGTGTGTGTGTGTGTGTGTGTGTGTGTGTGTGTGTGCGCAAATACTGCTTGAACTCAAAGCCTGAGTCACTTCCAGTTTTCTGGTGGTTAACTGGAGATAAGAGTCTCATGGACTTTTCTGCTTGGGCTGGCTTTGAACTGTGGTCCTCAGTCAGCCTCCTGAATAGCTAGGATTATAGGCATGAGCCACCAGCCAGCCCCTGGTTGACAAGTCTCTTGTTTTAAAAATCCAATTACTGAGCTAGTCTGGTTGTGATTTAAATTCACATGTCTGCTGCAGTTCTGTTCTGCAGCTGAGCGTAAGAAGTTCTTGAGCCAAGCTCCTCATTGTATACCCGAATTTTCTCTGTCATACTGTAGCCTAATTTTCTTCTAAAACTCACAAGATGGCCATTTTCAGCTTGAGGCCCTCCCTCCTCACACTCTCTTTTCATGATTAGACACCTCTCAAGCTCCAGTTTCTCTCCACTGCTCCAGGGACAGAGCTCTTTTCTATCAATCCTGTGTGTCCATTGATCTGTAAGATATGGTGTGTGTGGGGGGGGTGTAACATCCTATAGACCATCTTGGCTGGCCCTGCTGCTCCCCCCTGTCATGGCAGAAGAGGCTCCGGGTGGCCTGGGGCTGTGGAGCAGATAGACTGGTCCGTCCCCCAGCTATGCCGAGTAGCCCAGCCTCACCCCTGCAGACATGCTTCATGCAGCAGAATCATGTTGGGCTAAGTCCAGATTCTTTGGAGTGGGCCATTGTGAAGAGCGGAGCGCTCAATACTTGTGTCCAATGCACAGCCAGTCTTGATGCCTTCATACCTATTTGATCAAAGAAAATAGAGGGGGGGGGGAGAGGAGTCTGTTAACTGCCCCACCACGCTCATGCAGCACGAATTGTTTTGGCCCAAGAGGAAAAAAGAAAGATGTTTGATTGGGGGGGGGCGGGAATTCAGGCTCAAACTCAACCCTCTGAGCCTTTGGATTTGGGCACCTTGTAAATGAAAGCTTGGAGGCTTTTTTTTTTTTTAAGCTGTGAAGTAACCAAGAGATAGAGGAACAAAGGATGCAAAGGCAACAAGAGAGGTCAGATTTCAAGAGAGAAAAGCTGGCTTTCTGCTCTCAAACAAAGCCAAGACCACTTGATCTCTAATACTTGGGTTTATGACAAGAAAATTTGCAGTTCCAGGGTAGAAGTGGGGGATAAAGTAGAATGTCAGACACCCCTCGGTGCGTTTATCCAAGAACTGGCAGAGATATTGAAGTGGCCGGAAGCCACTGTGGGGCGGACATGATGGAGTCACTCTTGAGGATGGACTATGAAGATCCTGAAATCAGCATCCCTGTTGCCATGGAGACAGTGAGCATCTGGAAGGGACCTATCACACACACACACACACACACACACACACACACACACACACACACACACAGATCCTGTCAGGAGTTGGGCTGTCTGCTTCATCCATCCACTGCGCTGTCAGCCTGCTTATGCACAACTATGTGTAGACTTACCAAGGGCAACTAGAGGATTGCTATTGTTGATTAAATTGTAATTTCAGGGGCACTGAAATCACTAGGAATGCTGAACCTAGGAAGCTGATTGGAAGAACAGTGACTTTGGTGTTTCTTCATCTGCTTGATACATTCTGCTCCCATCAAAACAATATGGGTGGTTTCGTTAGGACATTTGCTTATTGAACACACAGGATGGAGTAGTCAATGCCAGGGATCAGACAGGGTATCTCTTTGTTTCTTCCAGCTTATGAATTGGAGATGTGGATGTGGTATATGAGTATAAATAAGTTCTCACATTTACTTACTCCTTTGGTATAGACCAACTTTTTTTTTGGCCAGTCCTGGGGCTTGAACTCAGGGTATAGGCGCTGTCCTTGGGCTTGTTCACTCAAGGCTAGTGCTCTATCACTTTGAACTCAGCTCTGTTTCTGGTTTTCTGGTGGTTCGTTGGAGATGAGAGTCTCATGGTCTTCCCTGCGGGGCTGGCTTCAAACTACAATCCTTAGATCTCAGCCTCTTCAAAACCTAGGATTATAAGCTTGAGCCACCGGCACCTGGCTTAGACCAATTTTGAAGTGAAAACTAAACCATAGATGTGTTTTCTCATAGTACCAGAGGCAGAAGTCCAAGTTGAAAGCAGCAGCATCTTCTCCCTGGGTCTCATAGCCAAGCCCCTGGATGTCTCTGTGTCCGGTTCTCTGCTCATAAGACACCAATTCTTTTTTTTTTTGGATCCAGTCGTGGGGCCTGAACTCTGGGCCTGTGCGCTGTCCCTCTCGCTCTACCACTTGAGCCACAGCGCCACTTCCGGCTTTTTTTTTTTCATTTTGCTTATGTGGTGCTGAGGAATCGAACCCAGGGCCTCATGCATGCAAGGCAAGCGCTCTTACCACTGAGCCACCTTCCCAGCCCCATAAGACACCAATTCTGTTGAGATAGCACTCACTCTATTCCCATATTGCTTCTATAAACGACCTGTCTCTGAATATGGACCTCTTTTGAGGTACTAGGTTAGGACTTGAATATTTGATTTGGATGGGGACCTATTTAGCTCATAGTAGTTTCTAGAAATCCTCCTTCTCTCCCCCTCCAGTTGCAAAGGAAAGCAGGCATCCATGCCCTGGGCATACACAGATCTCAATGTATATGATTATGACAATATTACTCTGCAGTTCTGAATTCCCAGAGACAGACTGCCCAACTGTTTCTGAACCATGTACAGTACATTTTTTTCTTAAGAGAGAAAGAATAATAAACAGAGACAGAATATTTTAAGTCCTGTTTTTTCTCATCTGCCAAGAATAATTGTGGTGTTCTCCGGAGTCCACTGGCTTCCCAGCCATCTTGTACCCTGTATCTATCTTCTGGCTTCAAGAAAATTCACAAAGCTTTAAATAAACAAGGGGCTCTGATACACAGCCTTGCTCTGTAAATAGACAGTCCTTTCAGCCCAAGGAGGAGGGTGCAGAAACTTCCAGAAGAACCTTTTGAAAGTAGCATTCTTGGGGGCTGGGAAGGTGGCTCAGTGGTAGAGTGCTTGCCTTGCATGCATGAGACCCTGGGTTCAATCCCTCAGCACCACATAAGCAAAAAGAAAAAAGCCGGAAGTGGTGCTGTGGCTCAAGTGGTAGAACACTAGCCTTGAGCTGAATAGCTGAGGGACAGCGCCCAGGCCCAGAGTTCAGGCCCCACAACCGGACCTCCCCCCTCAACCCTCCAAATAAAAAGCAAGTAGCATTCTTTGGGACAGGGCTATCGTTCAGTGGTAGAACATTTGCTTAGCATTCATGAGACCCTGGATTTGATCTCAGGTGCTACAAAATAAGCTTGAAAAGAATAGCATTTTAATCTCAATTATTGTCTCTAGTTAAACCCTTTCATTATACTTGATGCCTTGGGAACTAGGAGAGATTTGAGAACATATCTTGGCAGCTTTGTTTTTGTGTAGGTTGTGGTGGTGGAATAGGAATTTTAAAACTTCAATGTATATCCTCCAAAATGAAGAAAAGTAAGGGGACGGGGTAGATTGGAACTGGAGAAATAGATGAGAATGTGGAAAGGGGTGATAGGGATCAGGACACATTTCATTCATAAACTGCTTTGTTGAATGCCACCTCCTTTGTATAAGTACTTCAAGACATTTTTTTTGGTGCCAGTTCTGGGGTTTGAACTCAGGGCCTGGGCACTGTCCCTAAGCCACAGCACCACTTCTGGCTTTTTCTGTTGATGTGGTACTAAGGAATCGAACCCAGGGTTGCAAGCATGTGAGGCAAGCTCTCTACCACTAAGCTATATTCCCAGCCCTAAAGACAAATTTTGAAACTTAAAAAAAAAAAGAATTTCCTAGAATGGTGTTAACAGTGTTTATGAACTTTCATGATCTAGCCCTTACTTTTTTTCCCCTATGATGTATATGTGTGAAAAAGTTCACTTTTTTTGACCGTCATGGGCCTTGAACTCAGGACCTGGAAGCTGTACCTTCAGCTCAAGGCTAGTGCTGTACTATTTGAACCACAGCACCACTTCTGGTTTTCTGGTGGTTTATTGGAGATAAGACTCTCACACACTTTCCTGCCCGGTCTGGCTTTGAACTGTGATCCTCAGATCTCAGCCTTTTGAGTAGTAAGGATTATAGGCATGGAACATTGTTGCTCAGCTCGGTTTAGTGTTTGACCATTGAAAAAGTTAGAATGCCAGTCTGTGGGCTGATTGAAAGGAAATACTTTAGCCAAGCACTGGCGGCTCACGCCTGTAACCCTAGCTACTCAGGAAGCTGAGATCTGAAGATTGAGGTTCGAAGCCAGCCTGGGCAGGAAAGGCTATGAGACCCTTATCTCCAATTAATCACAGAAAAAGCCAGAAGTTCAGCTATGGCTCTAGTGGTAGAGTGCTAGCCTTGAGCAAAGGAGCTCAGGGAGAGCACCCAGGCCCTGAGTTCAAGCCCCATGATGGACCAAAAAAAAAAATCCTTTAATTATACTCAGTTATGAATACTAAACCCGCAGTGTGTTTCTTACATTTCCTTCCTTTCTTTGTCCTTAGCCTTCCCTCAGATCTGATTTCTTTATAAGGAGCAAAGCATCTATCAAAGACAAAACTACATTAATTTTCACTTTGAAGGTGCATCATGATCATTTTTTGTATCTTTACTGAGGCTCCAACTCAGGGCCTGGCACTGTCATTTAATTTTTGTTGTCTTTGCTGAAGGCTGGCATTCAGCCACTTGACTCACAGCTCTCCTTGGGGCCTTTTGATGGTTCACTGGAGATAAGAGTCTCATAGACTTTCCTGCCTGGGCTGGCTTCAAACTGCGATCCTCACATCTCAGCCCTCCTGAGTAGCTAGGATGATGGGCATGAGCCACCAGCACCTGGCATTACAAGTCTCTATTCGAACAGAATAGCTGGAGCCCAGATTTGTTTCTCTAATGTACACATCCCATTATTCTAGGTCTCCGAATTCAATCCCTTGACCTTCACCAGTGTCATCGAGTGCGAGAAACCGAACAATGACCTAACTCGGTTCCGAGGTTGCATGTGAGTACTCTGCCTCATTCTGAAGAAAACACACACTTTATAAGATGGGCCTTTTGAATATTCTTGGACATTGGGGGGGGGGTGAGCTGCTTGGACAGCTGAGCAATCTCAATTACTAAGGTTGACTGTTTAGTAAAAATCCATAATCAGCAGCCAGGCACTCATGCTGGCTTATGCCTGCCATCCTAGCTACTCAGGAAGATCTAAGGATCATGGTTCGAAGCCAGCCCGGGCAGAACAGTCCCTGAGACTCTTACCTCCAATAAATTACTCTGAATTAGCCAGAAGTAGCACTGTGGTTCAAGTGATAGAGTGCTTGCCTTGAGCGCAAAGTGGCTCCGGGACAGGGCCCGGGCCTTGAATTCAAGCCCCAGGACTGACCAAACAAAAAGAAAGTATCCAATCAGCAGATGACCTTAAGAGACCCACAAGGACAGATAGGGATTAGCAGCAGCTGAGTTATCACCATTAGGCTACTGGAGGGACACATCAGGACACAGTTTGCCATTGTTCCTTTACAATAGAAAGCAGAGAATGAACTCTGTCACTTCTTGCACTCATCATTCTATTCCTCCAATATCCTTCTCAACATTTCCATTGGATGGACTCAACCCAAAACCAAGGTCATGCGGCCCAAAGCCAAGGTCATGGCAATGTTCAGCATTCACTAGATGCAGAAAGACACCTCAGTGATGCACAATAGACTACAACACAAGGATCTCTAACTATAGGTCCTGGGTGCTTAGCTCAGAGAATATTCCTGAAGGCTGGCAAACTTTACTTCACCCTTGTGAGGGTGGAGATTCCCCCCAGTCTGGGGTAAAACTGGTGTGACCGTGGCTTGTAGCTGGCTGGTACAGAAAGTTCTCCAGAAAGAGTTTACATAGGTGCTACCCAGTAGACTGAGCCCCGCCCCCCCATACCAAGCCAGAGGAATCAAGGGGCCAAGAATACTTATAGAACTTAACAAAGAAGAAAGGTCTATAATTTCATTGGTTTTACCTTCATGATATTGAGTCATGTCATCATGGAGCCTTAACTCTGAGCCTTAACTGTCCTTCAGCCCTTCAGCTCAAGGATAGCACTCTACCACTTGAGCCACAGTGCCACTTCTGGCTTTTTCTGCTTATGTGGGGCAGAGGAATCAAACCCAGGACCTCGTGCAGGCAAGGCAAGCACTCTACCACTGAGCCACCTTCCCAGCCCCGAGTCATGTCTTGCATAAGCCGGGACCTTTTCCACTATTGGCTTCAGACTATCATGCTCAGAAATCCAAGGTAGCTTTTGAGCGGCTGAAGGCTGGATCCCTACTCCAAGCAGCCTTCCTTCTACTACTGATTTTGGGAAGGGCTGCTCATATAGACGTACAGCCCCATTCCCCGTACTTGCTGCCAGTCCTTGAGACTGTGGTCCATCTAAGGGGTTGTCCATGAGCTTGGTGTAATGAGTTTTTACCTGATATAGTTGGATGAGAAAAATCACAGTACAGGGATGGGGGTATGGCTCAGTGGTAGAGTGCTTGCCTAGCACTGATGAGGCCCTGGCTTAGATTCCAAGCATAGCAATACACGAATACACACTCACACAGAAATAGACAGAACTGTACCAGATGCATTGGTTTTCAGGACCACTTACTGATACCAAACCCTATAAATACTCAAATTCCTTATGTAAAATGGTGTGGCATTTCCACACGGTCTCTGCATACCCTTCTGTAATACTTTAAATGGTCTGTAGATAACTTACGATACCTAATGCAGTGTAAATGCTATGTAAATATTTGTCACGCTCTCTTGCTTAGGGAATAAGACCAAGAAAAAAATATAATGTACATATTCAGTACAGGTGAATTTTTTTTCTCCATGTATCTTACAGCACAGGGCTGGCTGTAGCTACTTAAAAAAATATTGTGCCATATCAAAGACAGCTTAATCTGAAATGTTGGTCTTATTTCGTTGCTCCTGCTAAGGATGAGTGGAAATGAGATGATTTGTGGGTTTTTTGTTGTTGTTGTTGTGGTTGAAGGGTTTTTTTGTTTGTTTGTTTTTTGTCGGTTGTGGGGCTTGAACTCTGGGCCTGGGCACTGTCCCTCAGCCCTTAAGCTCAAGGCTAGTGCTCGACCACTTTGAGCCACAGCGCCACTTGCAGTTTTCTAGGGGTTTATTGGAGATAGAGTTTCACAGACTCCTCCTGGGGCTGGCTTTGAACCGTGATCCTCAGATCTCAGCCTCCTGAGGAGCTAGGATTATAGGTGTGAGCCACCAGCGGCCGGCTGGTTGTGTTATTTTTACTTTACTGCTGCAGAGAGATTTCTACTGAGAGAAATGTGACCATCATGTCCTCTTACTTGAAAATGTGGAGCAGGACTTGGTGTCTAGCCATGTTTCTGACAGGCTGCTCTTTGATGCTTCACCTGGCAGTGAGGCTTTTCAGTCGTGAATCACTTTTTCAGGTCAAGCCTTACACTGTCTGGGAATTAATTGCCAGTGTCGACCATCCACACAATGCTGGCTGAGCCATCTCCCGCAGTTCCCTTTGCATTTGCTCTGCAGAAGACTGGCATTCTAGCCTCAATTTTATGATCAGCTTCTCCCCTATGCCGGAAAATAGGGTGATTTCTGTGGTCAGTGAGCAGGAGGCTAGGACCCGGCAGGAGGGAAATTCTTCAAAGGTCTCTGGTGAGCTTTCAAGAATAAGAATGACTGAGGGAGGAAGCATTTGGATGATGGGTTTGTGGGCAGGCAGGCACACACAATCTGTCCATTCAGAGTTATGAAAAGAAGGCTTTTTGGAAGGTTCTTCTGTGGTAAGCACTGTTTGGGGAAGGTTAGGCCAGGCTCCTGCTGTGCTTCTGGAAGCTTCCAAGGCCTCTCCCTCTGTATGACCTGTGCAACTCAGACTGAGTCTCTCCTAATGTGTTCCTAGCACTGGGCTCTTGTGGCCAAGTGCATGAATGTGAGAATTTCTGGCTTCATTGCAGACTAACTTGTATCTATTTTTTTTGTTTTTCTTTTCTTTTTTTTTTTTGTGCTTGACCTAGAGCTTGAACTCAGGGTCTGGATGCTGTCCCTGAGCTTCTTTTTTGCTCAAGGCTAGTGCTCTACCACTTGAGCCACAGCGCCCCTTCAGGCTTCAAACTTTCTGGTGCTTCATTGGAGTTCACAGAGTTCACAGTCTCCTTCACTTTCCTGCCCACACTGGCTTTTTGGAGTGCGATCCTCAGATCTCAGCATCGTGCGTAGCTAGGAGTATAGGCCTGAGTCATTTTTATATTTTTACTATCGTTTTTATGATCGGTTTTTATGGCCTTTTTATTATTTTTTATTTCACCTTTAAATCCATTTTCAGTATCCCTAAGTAGTTGTACAAAGGGATTCCAATTCCACACTGCAGTTTGTGAGTGCAGTGCATTTGATCGGTGCCAGGGCCCTTCTCGCCTCCCCGCTCTGTGGGCACGTCCAGGGTCGGGCCTCGGTAACGGGATTGGTTCCTGGAAGGAGGAGGAGGCCTTGTCCCGGGCGCTGGCGGCTCAGGCCTGGAACCCTCACCGCTCTGCTGGCGGCGGCGAGGTAGTGACTGCGCGGCCGCGTGGCGCCGCGGGCGTGGCCGCGTCAGCGTGCGTGGCCGCGTGACGTCACGCGCACGGCCACGTGGCGCCGCGGTGGGTCACGTCGTGCGTGCCCCGTTCCTCCCCAGCATTCACGAGAACGGGAAGAAGGCCGGGCTGCATAAGGAGAACCTGTTGCTCCGAGGCTGCACCATCCGGAACACGGAGGCCGTGGCTGGCATCGTGGTCTACGCAGGTGGGTGCGGCGCCCGGGCCTCGTGTGCGCGTGATCACGTAAAGCTCACAGGATAGAAGTACATGTGATAGAGTGTATAATGTATAACGCATTGCACATGGTACAACAACATACTACTATATCATGTATAACAACATACTATTATATCATGTACAACAACATACTATTATATCATGTATAACAACATACTATTATATCATGTATAACAACATACTATTATATCATGTATAACATACTATTATATCATGTATAACATACTATTATATCATGTATAATGTATAATACAATACATTATAACAGACTATATCATGTATAACAACATACTATTATATCATATATAACAACATACTATTATATCATGTATAACATATCATGTATAATAACATACTATTATATGATATAGCATAACGTACTATTATATCATGTATAATATATAATACATTATAACATACTATTATATCATATATAACATACTATTATATCATGTATAATAGCATACTATTATATCATATATAATAACATACTATTTTATCATGTGTAACATACTATTATATCATGTATAATAACACTATTATATCATATATAATAACATACTATTATATCATGTATAACAACATACTATTATATGATATATCATAACATACTATTATATCATGTATAACATACTATTATATCATGTATGATAGCATACTATTATATCATGTATAACATACTATTATGTATGATAACATACTATTATATCATGTATAACATACTATTATATCATAATGTATTATATATAATACATTATAACATACTATTATATCATAAATAATGTATTATATATAATACATTATAACCTATTATATCATGTATAATGTATAATATATAATACATTATAACCTTCTATTATATATAATGTATAATATATAATACATTATAACATACTATTATATCATATATAATGTATTATGTGTAATACATTATAATACAGTATAACCTTCTATTATATCATGTATAATGTATTATATATTATACATTCTATTATATAGTAACATACTATTATATCATGCATAATGTATAATATATAATACATTATAACATACTATTATATCATGTATAATGTATAATATATTATACATTATAATACATTATAACATATACCATTATATCATGTATAATGTATTATATATTATACATTCTATTATATAATAACATACTATTATATACAGTAGATGTCAAAATTTTATAATATATAATGTAACTATAAAATTGGTATTACCTATTATAATATATACATAATATTTATATATTATACTGTATTCTCTAATAGTATGTAAATATAGTTACATAATATAGATGAGTATGAGATTATATAACTGCAAAATTACATAAATATAAAAAATTTCTACATAAATTTATGTTTGTATGAATATGAGATTATACATATAAAATTATTTTATATAACAGAACTATACCCTATTATGCACTTATAGTTTATATATGAAACTATTATATATAATCAGTTTATACTTGGCCAGATAGACTGAGTGTATCACGTAACTATAGCCAGACCACAGCATAATCGTTCACCCCATAGGACCCCCCCCCCCCGTTGGTCCTGTGTACGTGGGGGCATTGGTTCACTGTGTGCCTCCTCCTCCCCTCCCAGGGCACGAAACTAAAGCTCTGTTGAACAACAGTGGGCCCCGTTACAAGCGCAGCCAGCTGGAGAGGCAGATGAACTGCGACGTGCTGTGGTGTGTCCTCCTCCTCGTTTGTATGTCTCTCTTTTCAGCCGTGGGTAAGTCTTCCAGACAGCTCATCAGCTGAGGGGCTGTGGCCGAATCACTTCCGGAGAGGCCAACCTGGCAGGCCGTCTCCACTCCCTCCACGCCAGCACCACCTCAACTCTAGAGTTTGAGTCCAGTAGCCATGTGGGAGATACCTAGATGAATGGGTTGTGTGTAGTTAGGTTATTTTCTGAACTGATGAAGACCTGGAAGGAAGAAGGGATTCATGGCCAAGGTAGTAATGAGCCCAGTGGAAGAAAATTCAGGAAGCTGGAGATGAACTCATAGCAAGAGAAACATCAGTGTTACGGCTGGGAACTTCATGGAAAGACAAAACTAGTGGCTCCTAAAGAGGGGCGTATGTGCGTCTTGAAGGGGAAGGAGAGGGTAGAGGCAATAGTGGATATGACCTTCACCTGCTGTCCTCCAGAACCAGGCAAGTGTGATACGATCCTGATAAAACGATGTACTGAACACATAAATTATAAGACTTCTGTTCTTAGATAGGTGCTAGACCCAATTCGTGAAATGGCATGCATTTCCATTGGCTTCTTATTCTGTGTGAGGATTGCTGGACCCTTGTAGTTTCTATCTACCTACTGGGGAGGCCGAGACCTGAGATTGGGATTTCAAAGCCTGCCTTGGGCAGAAAAGTTTGTGACACTCTTATCTCCACTTAACCAGCAAAAAGCCAGAAGTGAGGGCATAGCTCAAATGGTCAAGCACCAGCCTTGAGCAGAAAAAGCTAGGCAAGAAGAAACTACAGTCCTGTGTTCAAGCCCCAGTCTAGACAGACACACACACACACACACACACACACACACACACACACACACACACACACACACATAAAATGATTACATTTCAAAATAATGATCAATGTTGCCCATTGAAAAACCTGTTGCTTTTACACTAAGCAGCTCACGAGCCTTTTTTGGTTTTGTTTTTGGTACCAGTCCTGGGTCTTGAACTTAGGCCCTGGGGCCTATCCCTGAGCATTTTTACACATGATGATTGCTTAACCATTTTGAACACACCTTCACTTCCAGCTTTTTGATATTCATTAGGAGATAAAAGGTATTACTGACTTTCCTGCTCAGGCTGACTTTCTGAACCTTGATCTCAGATCTCAGCCTCCTGAGTAGCAAGGATTTCAGGTGTAAGCCACCAGCACTAAGCTGAGACTGGTTTTTGTGGGGGAGTTTTGGTGAGACGTGCTCTGGCAAACACTTTACTAGCACACAGGCACTTTTGCCTTCCGACCAGTGGCGCCACTCAGTACCTCCCGATGTGAGGAAAATGTCAAGTCCAAATTCCTCCATCAGTCTGATCGTGAGTGTCAAGAATTGGCTGTGCTTTTACTGTATTGCAGGAAAGGAAAGCTAAGAAACAAAGAGCTGTGTCCCGTAACAAATTGTAGTTTTTAACCTTAATTTTATTACCAGCTGTGACCCCAGCTTTCACTCGGCTCAATAACCGTTGTCTTTGCATGTGGCTTCAGGACATGGATTGTGGGTTCGGAGGTATCAAGAGAAGAAAGCATTATTCGAGGTCCCCGAGTCTGATGGCAGCTCTCCCTCCCCAGTCACAGCGGCCGTGTATTCCTTTTTGACAATGATCATAGTTCTGCAGGTATGATCACTGCTTTAATTCTCCACAGAGAACTTCAGAGTCATTGTGCTCACCGAGGATTTCCAGTCACTGCTGTAGCCCGGAAGGTGCCAATGGTGTCTTTCTAGTGTGATGCTTCTTTAATTTCTTTCATTTATCTATAGGGTTTTTGCCTTAGGGGATGTTCAAGTCAAAATTCTCTTTGAATAGTTGGATGTGGTTGTGGTCACTGCTTCATTGATTTTCACATGTTTTTAAAAAATTGGGGGGTGCATGACAATGATGACGGAAGGTAGATCTTCATGCGTGCTGTACAGGTGTGCTGTCAGTGACCCCTTGCTTGCTCCGCTAACTTCAGCTGAACTTCATCCTGGGTGCCAGTGGCTCCTGCCTGTAATTTTAGCTCCTCAGAAGGCTGAAATCTGAGAATCGAGGAATGAAACTGAAAAAGTGGAGGTGGGGCTCAAGTGATAGAATGCTAGCTTTGAGTGGAAAAAGCTCAGAGACAGTGCCCAGGCCCTGAGTTCAAGACCCACTATCAGCACACACTCACACTTACACACATACATACACACCAGTGGACCAATGTGGAACTGGGTCTATAAAAAGATAGTATATTACTCAAGTTTTGGTTTTTTGTTGTTTTTTTTTTTTTGGTCGGTTGTGGAGCCTGAACTATGGGCCTGGGTGCTGTCCCTCAGCTCTTCAGCTCAAGGCTAGCGCTCTACCACTTGAGCCACAGCGCCACTTCTGGCTTTTTTCATTTTGCTTTATGTGGTGCTGAGGAATCAAACCCAGGGCCTCAGGCATGCAAGGCAAGCGCTCTACCACTGAGCCACCTTCCCAGCCCCCTCCTTAGCTTTTTTCTGTCAAAGCTAAGGCTCTCCCATTTGAGCCACACCTCCACTTCCAGCTTTGGTGGGGCGAGGGGAGTTTAACTGGAGAATTGGAGGTAAGAAAGAATCTCAGGAATTTCCAGCTCAGCCTTGCTTTGAACTGTGATTCTCAGATCTCAGCCTTCTGAGTAGTTAGGATTACATATGTGAGCCACCAACACCAGGCTGAGCATTGTTTTGTGTTTTTTTTAAAATTTTTTTATCATTGTTTTACCACTAGTATTCATTCATATATCTTCCCCACCCCCAAAACAATACCCAATCCCTGAGAACGTATGTCCAGAAGATTTGTTAGTGTAGGCACAGTGTTCAAGTGAGAAGAAGCAGGAAAGGTCACTAACCTTTTGGGAACACAATGGCCAGAAGGTGCGCACTTAGCCTCATCTAGAAGGAAAACCTCACTCTTTCTTACCATAGGTGTTTTAGCCAACCAGAAAAAGCTTTATTTTGAATTTCAAATTAGTTTTTGTTTTGTTTTGTTTTGTTTTCGTTAGCCATGGGACTTGAACTCAGAGCCTGGGCACATCCCTGAGCTTTTTGCTCAAGGCTAGTGCTCTACTACTTTGAGCCACAGCACCACTTTGGGTTTTCTGGTGGCTTATTGGAGATAAGAGTCTCACAGTCATTCCTGCCTGGTCTGGCTTCAAACTGCGATTGTCAGATCTCAGCCTCCTGAGCAGTTAGGATTACAGGCGTGAGCCACCAGTGCCCGGCTAGTATTCAATATTGGAATGCTACAAAATGAACAGTGATTTTAAGGAAGTTGATGTTTTTCTCAAAGTCTTCCTCCCTTTGCTTTGGTTTTTTAACTGTATTTTTTTTGTGGGGGGGGTCTTTCCTTTTTTGGGAATTGAACCGAGGACGTTACACTGGCTAGGCACGTTGCTTTGCCAGTGAGCTACATTTCAGCCCTCCCTTCGCTTTTTAATCATGCATCATGGTGGAAATAGATCCTGTAGTATAAACTGGCCTCCTTTTGTGGCTGCTTTCTGAACTGTGGGGTTGCGTCTGCAAGTGACAGACAGCTTCTGTCACCCAGGGCCCAGGGAAAGCCTGGGGGTTGAATATTGCTGTGGTTTGAGATGACTTTGCTTTTACAAGGAGTCTGACGATGCTATGTTTTTCTCTTTTTTTTTCTCTTTTCTCTCTTTCTCTTCCTAGCCTCTCTCAAGCAAACCTTAGTAATACGAAAACGCTTGCTTCTCTCCAGACATTCCCAGACACCATAGTGGATTTCTGCTCTGCAGGTGCACTTAGGCTCTTCCTAGTTTAAACTCTTTTTGCCAATACTCTAATCCTTTTCCAATAGTGACTCTAAACCAACCCATGTAAGCGCTTCAAGGTACAGTATAGTTCCTGTTCCTTGTGGTTTGTAGTCGTTTGTCAGTGAAGTAGATTGGACTAATTCTGTGCTTTCTGGTGCTTGCCGTCATTCATCCTGTGTGCTTTCTATCTTCTTCTAGGTTTTGATCCCCATTTCTTTATATGTTTCCATTGAAATTGTCAAAGTGTGCCAAGTGTACTTCATTAACCAGGACATAGACTTGTATGACGAAGAGACAGACTCACAGTTGCAGTGTCGAGCTCTGAACATCACCGAGGACTTAGGGCAGATACAGTACATTTTCTCCGATAAAACTGGCACCTTAACTGAAAATAAGATGGTTTTCCGAAGATGCATTGTGTCTGGTGTTGAATATTCTCATGATGCCAATGGTGAGTCTGGCAGGGTGGGTGTTGGGGACTTCCAGGATGGGCTGGACAGGAAGGCTGCTATGTCTAAAACTATATCCCTCCACCCCCACTGCACACACACCATCACCACCACCACCACCACAAGACTCAGAGAATGCTGATCTTCACCTTGGGAGCCTGAAGCCCGTGCTATTTATAGAACAGGCTGACATGGCCCAGCTCACTGCAGAGTCTTTGGAAATGATGGCCATCTATTTCCGTATTCATTTTCTGCCAGGCAGATGCAGCAGCTAGCCAGGGGTTTCACACCCCCGAGGAACTCATTTTCTGGGGCAAAGCAGTCGCTTTACTGTGCCACACCAAAGGGACAGAAAGATGTTCCCTTTGTCACTCATCCATCTTCCTGTTATCAGCTGAAATTCTCAGAAGGGCCGCCTTCTTTCCCTTGGAACACAATGTCCATGGGAGCTGGAGAGAAACGCAGCGCCTCACTTGTGATTATCTGGGCAGGCCCTCCTCCTCCCAGCTCTCTTCTTATCCTCGGCTGCCTCCTTCCTTGTTGAAGGAAGCCAGAGAGTTACTAGTTTCCTAAGCCCAAGGATGACTGGAACCAGCCATCCCCAACCCCGCCAGGAGAGGGCGCTACGGGGAACATTCTCCCACTCAGGAGTGTTTCTGAGGGCGATTGTATGTCCAAAGAGGACTCCCTTTCTTTCCTATATCGGCAGCAGAGGACATCAAAAGCCATGCCCAGAAACAAACTCCTGAGTTATATAGCCCAAGCTCCCTAACACTTAACTGTCTTCCTTCACTGTACAGTTAAAGTAGCCTAACATGGCACGTCTTGTTTACTGTTTTTTCTGCCAGCCCAAGTAAACTGCCTGTGTCCCATGCAGCCATTCTCACTCTCCTTCTGGTGTCATTCCTTTCCTCCTGCCTCATCCCCGGGCCTGCATTCCTTCCCCCTTCCCAAATGCCTAAACTTCCTACAGAATAGCTTGTTCCCCAGACAAAATATTCCGCAACAGCCTTTTAGAATTTCAACATTTCAAGAGAGTCAAGAAGAAGAGGTTTGAGACCTAAACAACGGATGGACTCGAGTCATGAATCTATATTTCAGAATAGCTAAGTGTCTATTTCAGATAAAGGCAAAGCTGGTTACTGGTGACTCATGCCTATCACCATAGCTTCTCAAGAGGCTGACTTCTGAGAATCCCAGTTCAAAGCCATCCCAGGCAATCTCCATTGAATCAGCAAAATGCCAGAAGTAGAGGTGTGGCTCAAGGGGTAAGGTGTCAGCCTAGAGCAAAAAAAACAAAAAAGCTAAGCAAACATATGAGGCCCTGAGTTCAAGTTCCAGAACTGACCTTCTCCCCCCCCACACACACACACAATGAAAGATAGTTAAGTGAGGTGACAGATTCATTAGCTTGACTTAATCCTGCCACATTATATATAGATATCAAATACTGATCCATTTTAGTAAAGGATCTGAGCCATGACCACATGGACCTCTAGGCTCTCATGGCGGCGACTGCTCCCAGGATTGTTGAGGACAGACAGATCTCCCCTTCTGCGGGAGGAAGCCGAACTCCCAAATACACAAGGCTCAAGGACAGACACAATCTCACTGGTCTAGAATTTGTTCTTCCGTGCCATCCAGCTGTCATCAAATTGGGATTTAGGTCACAGGGCTGAACAAGGCCATGGACATTTTCAGCAGGCTTCCTGGTATTAGGGTACCTGGCGTTTCTACCCGGCACTCTGTTGGCACACAATGTTGGGATTACACGTTTGTTTTGAATTAGTAATCCTGACGAACAGTCCAATCACATCATGCTGATTCGTGATGCAACAGGCCCTACAAACTGGGCAAATCCAGGAAAAGTTGTTCAGAATGGTAAGTTAGTAACAGCAGAGCAGGAGTACCACCATTCCCAGAAGGCCCCAGAGACTGTTCAGCAGTGCCTCCGATGGGCTCAACTGGACCATTGCTGCTTGGATTGAGTTTGACTGACTGGACCCAAACTCTGGATGCTTACAATCACACTAGGTGATCACAGAAAGAATATCAGTGTTTTGTGTGTGTTGGTGTATATTTACAAGGAATATCAGTGTTTTGTGTGTGTTGGTGTATATTTACATGTATATAGAGTGATATTTGTGCCAGTACTGGGGCTTGAATTCAGGGCCTGGGTGCTGTCACTTAGATTTTTTTGCTAAAGGCTAACAGTCCACCACTTGAGTCACAGCTCCACTTTGGGTTTTCTTTCTTTTCTTTTTGAGTCATGGGCATGGGCACTATCTCAAGAATAGCTAGTGCTCTACCAGTTGAGCCATAGCTCCACTTCCAGCTTCTTTTGGTAATTTATTGTTAAGAGGTCTCACAGACTTTGCTGCCTGGGCTGGCTTTGAACTGTGATCTTCAGATCTCAGCCTTCTGATTAGCCAGGGTTATAGGCATGAACGACTAACACCTGGCAAGGACATTTTTTAGTCCTTTACTGGTAGAAACTCATTAAATGGGGTGGCCTTGTCATTGGGGAACAAAGATTGTGTGTGCTCTGGGGTGTGGGCTCATGGAACACGGAGCACCCTAAGTCAGCTCAACCTGCCCTCATGATGCCCTGCCCTGTGTCCCTCTCCCCACAGCCCAGCGTCTGGCCAGGTACCAGGAGGCTGACTCTGAGGAGGAGGAGACTGTGCCCAAGGCCAGCACGCTGTCCCAGCGTGGCAGCATTGGAAGCCACCAGAGCGTGCGTATCATGCACCGAACCCAGAGCACCAAGTCCCACCGGCGCACCAACAGCCGTGCAGAGGCAAAGAGGGCCAGCATGCTGTCCAGGCACACGGCGTTCAGCAGCCCCATGGTGAGTGCGGCCTTGTGGGAAGGCTACCCGTCTGCCTTCCTCCTGTCTTGTCACTGCCATTGTTGTCTTCAGTCAGAAGTGGCTGTCTTGGCTGGGAGCTGGTGGCTCATGCCTGTCATCCTAGCTACTCAGGAGGCTGCCATTCTGAGCATCATGGCTGGAAGCCAGCCCAGGGAAGGACCATCCATGAGACCCTTATTTCTAATGAACCACCAGAAAACCGGAAGGGGCGCTGTGCCTCAAAGTGGTAGAGTGCTAGCCTTGAATAAAAAGCTCAGGGAGAGGGCCTGGGCCCTGAGTTCAAGCCCAGTGACCAACAACAACAAAAAAGTGTGTTATATTTGATCAAACAGATAAGCCCCTGCCGGGTACTGTGGCTCTGATCAGTTTTCTGGCTGACAACTTTTCTACTCCCATTGTCTCTTTTCCAAAGACTCAAAGCCCTCTGTGTCATGGTGCTTACAGGCTGGGTAGCTGCTGTGTAAGCCACACAGAGAGAAAGCCTGGCCTGCCAAGTGAAATGAATAAAACATCAGAATAGCCAGGTGCTGGTGTCACGCCTATAATCCTAGCTCCTCTTAGAAGGCTGAGATCCGAGGATCGTGGCTGCAAGCCAGCCTAGGTGGGAAACTTCAGGAGACTCTGATCTCCACCAGTACAAAGCCAGAAGTGAGAATATAGTCATAATATTCTATGTACACATGTGAAAATGCACGGGGAAGATGGAGTGGATGGGAGGTGGGGGGAGCTGGAGAGATGAGAGAGGAAGAGCAAAGGCATAACATTCATCAAAGTGCATGGGACTCAGAAGCTGACAAGCTGTATTATAACCCCTTGGTACAACTACTTAAAGATCGTCATAATGTTTTTAACAGCCAGAAGTAGAGCTGTTGCTCAGTTAATAAAGTGGCCAGCCTTGAGTGGAAAAGCTGAATAGCACCCAGCAGTGAATTCAGTACTGTCACAAAAAGAAAGAGAGACAGAGGAGACAGAGAGACAGAGAGAGAGAGAGAGAGAGAAGGCAGGCAGAGAGGCAGGCAAAAGAAAACAAAAATGTCAACTGCAAAAAAGGAGAGTGGGTCCCTCTCTATACACACACACACACACACACACACACACACACACACACAGAGTATTAATTAGGTAATCCTAAATCCCATTAAAACAACTTCCTCCGCCTCATCTGCTGTTCATGTACTGCCACCAGAGAGGAAAATTTCCGGAAACGAGTGGAAATTTTCTGGGTGGCCTCGCTTCTCTAGATGTGTACAGAATCTGCCACTGAACTATGATAATCTAGAGTTATGGCCACAGGGCCCCTGGGAACGGGGGGAGGGGGGGGAAGGTGGCAGGCAGGTTACTGCATTTGGGACGTTCTCCTGAGGACCTTCTGTAGTGTGTGTGTGTGTGTGTGTGTGTGTGTGTGTGTGTGACAGATGTGTGACAGATGTGTGAAAGATCAGACTTCCTGACCTAGCAACTTCATGATTCACAAATCGTCACACACAGTATGGCAAGGGATACCTAAAGAGCCAAAAAGGAAGAAGAAGATGATGATGATGACCATCATAGATAAATCATGGGTACCTTCAGCCATTTTGATAGGACTTTTTTTTAATGTTTTTTTTTTTTTTTTGGTCAGTCGTGGGGCCTGAACTCTGGACCTGGGCGCTGTCCTTCAGCTCTTCAGCTCAAGGGCAAGAGCTCTACCATTTGAGCCACACCACCACTCCCTCGTAAACTTTCTTGACTGGGCCTGGCTTCCAACCACAATCCTCAAATCTCAGCCTCTTGAGTACTAGGATTACAGCTGTGAGCCACCAGCCCCTGGCTTATTATATCCATATTATTTTATAAGAAATGTTTTACTAGTTACTTGTAATAAAAAACGTGCCTTTCTTCCCATATGTTTGACCTCCACTTCTACAGCTAAAATTATACACAGAGATGACATGTGTGCCTGACATGCCTTTGTTGTCAACTGTAAGAAACCACATCAAGGCCCCTGAAGTCGTTGAGCATGAAAACACTTGCTGGGTTACTCAATCAGACCCAACTTGGGGGGGGGGTCCTCTATTTGTTTCCCCTAGGAGAAAGACATCACGCCCGACCCGAAGCTGTTGGAGAAGGTGAGCGAGTGTGACCGACGCCTGTCCATCGCCAGGCACCAGGAACGCCCCCTGGCCCACCTCTCGCCCGAGTTGTCCGACGTGTTCGACTTCTTCATTGCGCTCACCATCTGCAATACAGTGGTGGTCACCTCCCCGGATCAGCCACGACAAAAGGCAAGTGAAGTGCTCTGTCCTCAGTCTTCCCCGAAGTGACTCAGGCATGCGCCCTGCCTGCAGGGGGTGCCGCTCAGCCTCAACAGCACCTCTCAAATGTGAAGGGTGGACAGGTGAGTTTGGGAGATCTCAGCTTGCCTCAGTGTTTCCTGGACTCGGACAGGGGCAGAAGGAAGCTGCAGACAATGATCCACTCAGCACTCAGCACCCCAGAGCCACACGGGAAGAGGGGGCGGCAGCAAGCTGGATTCCAATCCAGACTCTGGGATAAGGGGCTTGGGTGTTCTGACTTCATGTCTTTAGATATGTCTGTGCTTCTGGTACCTCACTGGGCCCTGGGGTGATGGGTGAAGATTTATGGAGAAGCTCAGAGTGGATGTCAGATGGGTAGTAATAAGGAGAATTCAGTGAGGTCCCTGTGGTGAAGTGGATGAGAATCGGTCAGGTTACCTAGGGGGAGAAACAGGAATCAAGTTGGTTTGGGTCTGGGCTCATATGAAGGCCCTTTCTGAAGAGAAGAAAGGTATTTTTATTTGCTGATTTTTGGGTTTTTTTGGTCAGTCCTGGGGCTTGAACTCTGGGCCTGGGCACTGTCCCTCAGCTCTTCAGCTCAAGGCTAGCGCTCTACCGCTTGAGCCATAGTGCCACTTCCAGCTTTTTCTGCTTATGTGGTGCTGAGGAATCGAACCCATGGCCTCATGCATGTGAGACAAGCACTCTACCCCTGAGCCACCTTCCCTGCCTGTTTGTTTTTATGCTGGTACTGGGCTCACATTCAGTGCCAGGGCACTCACTGTGCCGTAGCTTTGTTGCCCAACACTGATGTTCTACCACGTGAGCCACCCCTCCACTCATGACTTTTTGCTGGGAAACTGGAGATAAAAGTCTCACAGACTTTATTGCCCAAGCTGGCTTTGAATCCTGATCCTCAGCTTCCTGAGTAGCCAGGATGCCAGGCGTGAGCCATCGGCGCCCCAGGAGAAGGAAGGTTTTATGTGTAACCCACAGGCTCCTCAGAAGGCCTGCAGGTGGGCCACACAAGACGAGGGCTGAACCTGTGGATGTGCCAGCAAGCCAGGCAGCCTGGCAGGGGGGAAGATGAGGGCATCCAAGGACTCGATTGTGCCTCTACCTCTTATTCTGGGCACAGCTGAACCCAGCTGAACCAGTGAGCCTAGTGGATCCCAAGTAGACAGGGTTGGGCACTGAGAGGCTCTCATACTGCCTGTTCCAAGGAGGAGCTGTTTCTTGTGGCAGAACACAGATGCCCCTTTCTGGCCTGAATGCAGTAATTCTACCCACATTAAAGCTCACTGGCACATGCGTTGTGTAAGTCTCTGAGCTGTCTAGGTTGGCCGGCAGACACAACCAGTGTAGCAATTATGTATATTATACATACTATCTATTATATATAACACCTAAACATATAACCATATAGTTAATATGATTTTAAATAACATTACATGTTATATAATTATAATCATGTATAATTATATATATTAAATACTAGTATATAATTACATAATATATGTACAGTATACAACATGTATAATTACATATTATGTTATAGTCCTATATACATATAGTATGTCATATACATATCATATATTTACTTTAATAGTTAATATATTGAACATTTTATAAGATAGATATTTTATATAGCACAAAATTAACAACAATAATGAGATAATTTACTAAGAAAGGTTCTTTGGGGCTTAGGAATGTGATTTTTTTTTTTTTTTTGGTCCAGTTGTGGGGCCTGAACTCTGGGCCTGGGCGCCGTCCCTCAGCTCTTCAGCTCAAGGCTAGCGCTCTACCACTTGAGCTACAGCGCCAGTTCCGGCTTTTTTCTTTTTGCTTATGTGGTGCTGAAGAATCGAACCCAGGGCCTCAGGCATGCAAGGCAAGCGCTCTACCACTGAGCCACCTTCCCAGCCCGGAATGTGATTTTGTTTTAATTTAAGTTTTTTTAACAAAATGACACACACTCTCTGCAGCACGTTTTGATCAGGGGAAGGAAAGGCCCGGGTTTGTGCCTGGCCGTGGCGAATTGAGTCCCTCTCTGCAAAGTGGATGCCCCCCCCCGCCCCCCCCGCTGCGGCCCCAGGGTCCCCGCTTGCTCCTGACGCCCGCTTCTCCCGCAGGTGCGGGTGAGGTTCGAGCTCAAGTCCCCGGTGAAGACCATCGAGGGCTTCCTGCGGAGGTTCACGCCCAGCCGCCTGGCCTCGGGCTGCAGCAGCGGGAGCCTGGCCACCAAGTTCAGCCAGAAGTCGGGGTCCAGCTTCCTGTCCAACCTGTCCCACGACAGCATCTTCGACCGGCTGGGCCAGCCGGCGCCGGCCCTGGCCAGCAACGGCTACAGCAGCCAGGCCAGCGGCACGGACGGCGCCGAGG